GGTTTAGTATTTTCTACCAGCCCAGTCATTCTTGTGTTATCTCCTCGGGTTAATATCAGTGTACCTTTGACAGACATTTATAAGCAAAACCATTTTCATTTTTTCTTCATTCAGACTATTACTTAAGTTTGAAATCAAACGTTTCTATAGTTACAATTATACAATATAAATACCCACTGAAACTGTTTTACATCATGTTACATATTTCTTTACTGTATACCTATTCTTTCGTTGGATTTGTTTTTCCTCTGCTAGGATTTCGGTATCATTTTGTATGAACATTTACTGAATACCAATAGTTTCATTGCCTATAGCTACATGTTAAATAGTATAGATTAAGAAATTAGTGTTATCCTAACCTACTGCCTAGCTCTCATGAACACACGTGTTTTTGTTTACACAGTGGCCGTGAACGGCTCTAGATTTAAATAAGGCCGTCGCTATTACCACCCGAGTGTCAATAGCCACTGCCGCGCGGCGTGGCTATTGACACTCGGGGTATCTTCTCTGGAAAGCGGATACCGGTGCATGGTTCTGGATTTCTATACATTTTTCTCGTTGCTTTGCAATAAATGTATCCAAGCATATATGTAACCTTTTTGTCATAACTTGTACATTGCATTTATTTTTATTTAAAATAATATATTTTTAGATGTATGTCATTGCCCATAAGTCTCTAAACATACTTAAAATGTTTTTAAACAATCGTATATAAAGGACCGTTAAATACTTAATTAATAGCTTCATTTATTTACACATAAGTAGTATGGTTAACTAATTGGTGTATCTATTTAAATCATATTTGTGCTTTACATGTATTTAATAAAAAATATTTACGATAACATAGATACTGTGTACGACGTGACCAGTTCGGATGCGCGGGCCCAGTAATTATATTATACATCTGGCAATATGGCAGCGTGAATTTACTTTCGCTTTGTGTGTTCAAGGCTTGGGTAACGGGCGTTTCTAGATTTACAAGACCAGTTTACCGAGTTTCAGTAGGTGATTTACTTGCACAATTTTAGTTAATGTTTCATGGCCATCGATGAAGTAGAAGACGCTTACCGTTCCAGAACAACTGGCCTCATTCTCCTTGCAATTCCACAAGGGTCTTCATATCATCGTTCATGTATTGATATTATGCCTGAGTTTTATCGATTTTAAGTTCAATTCACGAAAACAATTGTTTCGTCCTTTTGTTATTAGATGTGTTGGTTATACATGTATGTATGCACACGTATATTTGTCGGTAGCGTATATGAACAGCATGGTAGTTTATACATCGATGAATTATTAGATAACAAACATTCTGTGTTTTTCAGGAATATATATACAACCATTACAGTACTTGCCATTATTTATTTTAGAAAGCCCGTAAATGCGGGATAGTTTTAGGTGTCATAGGTAAGATGTTCCATGTACTGGTTATGCCACGAGTAGGTATAACTGTATTTTATGTTTGTGAGGACATGTGGAAAGTTGAGAGGAGTACCATCTATTTGTTATAACAAGCAAAAAGGTCTAGAGGACCTTACGTACGATATATGAATTGTTGAGAATTCAATCAACTATATAAGTGAAAGGCTAGGCTACTGCGCATGCACACATTGTCTTTTATCGGAAAAGCTTTATCCTACCACTTTTGTGTGAAAATATGTCAAAAACTGAGATTAACATCTACATGTAAAGATACGACAACAGTTTGGATGACAATAAGTTTTTCGTGACAACGGTTAAAAGTACCAATTTTTGTTTTCACAAAAGTCAGTGTTATTTCTAACAAAGAAAAGAATGAGATTATTATTTGTTTTATGTATGTTTTGTGAGTTCCTTACAATAGTTTCGAAGTAAAGGATTATAGCTCTAAAGATCGGAAGTACTGTATGTATATTATTACACCTTATTCGTTGAGAGTAACTGTTTACTAGGTAATTTTCGCATTTTTGCGTAAGGATTCAACCGCGACTAAAACAAAATTTCAGACTTCACGCATTATTTTAGGATTTATTTCGAGACCTAACGAACGCGTATCAATTGATAATATCGGAGAGGACTACACATACATGTATGCGTATCAACCAGGTTATCCAACAAATATACCCATGGCACTGTTCCAAAGACGTTTCAACCAAGACTACAGGCAATATGGACCAAACCGTTTACCGACTTACTTTTTCATCATAATACATTCTGAAGGGATGCCTTCGTTCTTTTTCTATTTTTAGAGTTGTCACTTCCAGAAATGCAGGCGTTGTTACAAATGTATGGCTAAAAAAATTGAAGCATGTTTTATGTCAAAAACGAACTGGAAGAAAACTAAGATTAGATATATACTGAAGATGAAATGGTTGATTAGACTATATCACTCACAATATCTTTGTTGAGTTCGATGGCAAGATTTTCCGCATGCTATTTTGATGAACGTTGTCTCCTTTGTTTTTGTTTTCATATGAGGCTTTATTTTTAAAGAACTGAAGAGATTATGAGAAAGATGATCAAGTCTTTGCCAGGTCCTTTGGTTTCATTTTCAGATACTCCAATAAAGATACCTTTATTGACCACGTCGGTGGTATGTTTCCTCCTGAATTGATGACACTGACGACTCATTGTTATCAGTGGCATCCCTCGATCTTTATTTACATTATCCTCAACAAAATAGCTCACTACTAAGCAGTATGCTAATTTTTCCTATGATGACCTTTTTTGAAGTAATATCCATGTTTTCCCTACATATTTACAACGCAGGGATTCGAAAGGTGCAAATATATGAAGATTCTGGGCAAGTCTATTGGTTGCTAAAATTATCTCATTTAATGATATCCTTCTTCCGTGTACGGTAAGATCATAGACGTCTTTTTATTGTTCGTGTAAGTGTTCCTTGTGGTTTCGTTTTCACTTCTAAATATCTATCTCTGATGACGTGCGATTAATTTGATTAGACCTGGATTAACATGGCGGTATCGTCCCTATGCCAAGATTCCCACCTTCCTGGAAGGCGTGGTCACATGTTCCTTGTAATGTAGCAAGATTCTCGTGTGGATGTTATTCCATCGATTTATCACTATACGATTCCGATGATGTTTTTTCTATTTGCTTTTTTTCTATTTTGATACAGTTTCGGACTTTGTATTATTCTGACCTTGAATGTCATTACATTTGGATATGTATATATGTATAGTCAGTATTTTGTATCTGAGTGGTTGAATTTCAGGATTGATATTCATCGGTTTAACATTAATTGTGATATGCAGTACATTTCGGTTAAAAAATCAATAATATGATGATATCACCAAAGTGAGCACAACACTGCAATGCGAACTAAAAGTTTATATTATACAAATCGTTATTTTCAGTGCAAGTCCTTCCTCAAATACGAAATCAACTATGAAATATAAATACAGTTGGCGGGGAAGCAGGGACGTAACTATCAGGAATACCAATCTTCACCATCGGAAAATCAAACTTGTCACGTTTACCATACAGCTAAGCAATAAGCTGATCTCGTAGCAGTTGTTTTACCGCCATCGCTGTCAAGTTTTGGACATGTAAAGATCGAGGAATAAAAGTTGAAAAAGAAAAAGAAATTGTACTGTCCTTGCTGTCAAGTTTTGGACTTGTAAAGATCGAGAAAGAAACGCTGAAGAAGAAAACAAACTGAACTGTCCGTGCTGTCAAGTTTTGGATCATTTAAAGATCGAAAATTAAAGCTGAAGAAAAGTCAAGTTTGGGACATATAAAGATCAAGAAACAAACGTTGAAGAAACAGAAAAGACTGTACTGTCCTGCTGTCAGGTTTTAGACATATAAAGACTTATAAATCTGGAGAAGCAGCGCATCGTCGATATATCTGAATGTGAAATTGAAAGAGTTGTTTTTGTTACAAGCCTTGATAAGATCATCAATAAAACCAGCCTCATATTGAAACAAATTAAGCCGACCCGAGGTAGGGAACATTTTGTTCCCATAGAAATGCCTAGAGTATGCTCGAAAATCTGATAACCAAACACAACAAAGATACATTATTGCTTGTTACTTCATCCGGAAATTGCTGACATCTTACAGCGAGGGTTTAACGAGATTGAAACATTCTTAAGATTAGATTTTGTTTATTATACTGTCAGATCACCACTATTGATGACGAGAGCAAATTAATCTAACGATGATACATGTATGTGTTTTATCTGTTGACAACCAATCGAATATTACAAAGGAGATAAAAAGTTGTAGAAACAACATCTAGTAAATTTACTCTTTATGCAGTCATTGATCTTAATGTAATATCCATGGCTGTATGACTTTCACTAATGGTATCCTTCTGTTTATTTAGCTGATGTAATAGCTTTTGTAATTTGTCTGAACTGCATCGCTATACAACTCATCCCACTAGAAAGTAAACAATACCTGCTATTACTTATATGCTTTCAAGCTAACAGGCAGTTTTTATATCTCGTTGCCCGAATGCATTTAATTCTTAATTAGTTGAAAATTTGAAACTTGTTTTATTGATTTTTTCTGATAGCTATTGACAAACCGTCACTCAACGACGTATAAGTTATCCATACAATGCGCGGATACACAACTTACTTCTGTGACCTCTAGTCATTAATGTTTATGCTGGCTTTTGTTTAATCTATATCAACAATAAAGAACGATGAGGCAGTTGGTAGACCCCAAGGCTGATCTATATTTCTACCTTTTTTCCGATAGGTCCGGCAGCAATATATTCTAGAAATATGTTCAGTGTGACGACAGAACTGGTACCTCATCACAAGCTAATTAAATACTTGTGTATTGCACTATCGAGGTCCTTTCGGATCACCAATTCTGCTATACGATTGTCAGATATTTTACTTCAATAAATGACCTCACTATTGTATCCATCAGCTAGGTAAATGTATACCTAGTCGCGGAATTAGAGGACGAATGATGCTAAAATGATCTTTTAAACTGCTTATACATAAACATAACAAATTGCCACTCGACAGTCCAACCAGCATGACGTAACATACATGTAACACACTATCACCCCTTACTTAACCGTTATAACTCTCACCCAAATAGCATTTAAAAGGTTACAATGAATCATCTGATGTACATCTTAGGACACGGGGAAACTGTGCTGCTGTGCTACGACACCCGAACGCTGTGTTACATTGTTTTCTATGAGAATGTGCTACAACACAAGGAATCTGGGTTACAGGATGTTCCGACGTAACGGGGTACAACACAAGGAATCTGGGTTACAGGTTATTTCGACGTAACGTGTTACTATACAAGGAATCTGGGTTACAGGTTATTCCGACGTAACGTGTTACTATACAAGGAATCTGGGTTACAGGATGTTCCGACGTAACGTGTTACAATACAAGGAATCTGGGTTACAGGATGTTCCGACGTAACTGGGTACAACACAAGGAATCTGGGTTACAGGATGTTCCGACGTAACGGGTTACAACACAAGGAATCTCGGTTACAGGATGTTCCGACGTAACGTCTTACTATACAAGGAATCTGGGTTACAGGATGTTCCGACGTAACGTCTTACTCTACAAGGAATCTGGGTTACAGGATGTTCCGACGTAACTGGGTACAACACAAGGAATCTGGGTTACAGGATGTTCCGACGTAACGGGTTACAACACAAGGAATCTCGGTTACAGGATGTTCCGACGTAACGTCTTACTATACAAGGAATCTGGGTTACAGGATGTTCCGACGTAACGTCTTGCTATACAAGGAATCTGGGTTACAGGATGTTCCGACGTAACATGTTACTATACAAGGAATCTGGGTTACAGGATGTTCCGACGTAACGTGTTGCTATACAAAGAATCTGGGTTACAGGATGTTCCGACGTAACGTGTTACGAAACAAGAAATCCGGGTTACAGGATGTTCCGACGAAATGTGTTACAACACAAGGGAGCTGGGTTACAGGTTGTTCCGGGTTACAGGATGTTCCGACTTACAGTGTGACAAAACAAAGAATCTGGTTTACAGGGTGTTCCGACGTAACGGTTACAACACAAGTAATCTGGGTTACAGGATGTTCCGACGTAACGGGGTACAACACAAGGAATCTGAGTTACAGGAAGTTCCGACGAAACGGGGTACAACACAAGGAATCTGAGTTACAGGATGTTCCGATGTAACGTGCTTAAATACAAGAAATCTGGGTTACAGCTCCAGAGTGTTGTTACGTACCTAGCTGTTACTCGAGGAATAGGATCTACAAAGTGTTTTAATGCACCCAGGTTTGATTTTAGGAATCTGCGCTACTAGGTTTTCTGAGTAATATTGTTACAACAAATGGATTATGCGCTACAGGGTTTTCCGTATCATGTTACGACACGGAGAGGCTTTGCGACATGCTTTCCAATGCACCATGCACAGATATCATTTTCCTTACACCGAACAATTAAAATGACGCATAGTTCTAAAGACCGTAAATGTTCACTAACAATTAATGCTTGGGTTGTTTCCAGCTGCCATCTACAGCTGTTACATATACATCGATGTTATTGTATGTCGCAGTAACGTCCTTCTCCATTCGAGCGACAACGTATTTCTTATTGATAAGAAAATTGTTTCATTATTCAAGATAATGTGTCTGAAACAGGAGAATGAGTCAGGCAGCCACACAAATACTCAATAAAACATCCACAACTGGAGCTGAACAAAAGTAAAAACATGTTTTATGTTAAGTTACAGAAAATATTCTAGGCGGTCTCAAAAATGGGCGCTGTCTTGCGGGAAAATACAGGCCCTCGCGCAGTAGTGAAAACTTAATTGGTAGTGATAGACAGAACTAACATTGCCAGTCCGCTGTGTGCTGCATAACACTGGCAGAGCCAGGGGAGTACATTAGGTGGTGTTCTGATGACTGCTCTTAGTAATACAGACACTACAATGTAACGCACAAATTGTCTTCAGAGCTACCTGGTAACGCTGACTACAGATGCAATGGTCCTGTAAGCCACACGGAAGTATTTGTTTCCTGTGATTAAATACCGGTTTAGAAAGGAGATGAAATTGTACAATTTGCTACAACATTGTGACTGTCTATAGCTTGTTTCACAGCTGTTCACTGGTGACGACGTGATTGGAGTGACCATACAGTTATTGTGACGTGTCTGTTCTGGACTAAGACAACTGTCATCGTGTTTTGTCCCGTGAATTGTCATAGTTATAATAGCGTCACACTACACACTCGGTTATAATGGATGCTATTCCTTAGGTACAACTTAATTTTCAGGTAGAATATTTTATTTAACTATTGTTTACAACTAACGACGTTTGTTCCTATACATACTACACAAGTAAACATCATGCAAAATCAGTAATAATATTGATGCAAATCAGTGTGTGTTCTTTCACTGTTAGAGAATCTCAAGCTTTTGAGAAGATTACATTAACAATGCTGTGATTCAGAGGAATAAACATCATGGAATTACTGATTATCAACGTAAGAGGAACGGTGTTTAAGACCAAAGCCAAAAACCTAGCAAATGTACCGCCAGGTTCTCCTCTAGCAAATCTTGACAAGACGTCTGAGTATTTTGATTCAGAAAGTGGTGAGTTTTTCTTTGACCGTAGTGCCGAAGTCTTTGATACTATCCTTGATTACTTCACATCTGGAAAACTACACATACCGACCTATGTCTGTGCCGAGCGGGTCAAGGAGGAGCTGTCCTATTGGAAAGTCCCGGAAAGCCAGCTGGCCAAGTGTTGTTGGAAGGCCTATTATCAGAAAGACGAGGAAATGGACGTGCTAACAAAATTACTGAAGCATGTACCTTGTGTTGAAAATAGGGCCCAAGGGATTGCCACCAATTGCTGTGAATCTCCCAACGTTATAAAACCCTCTCGGAGCGGACAGGATATTAGAGATCGGACGTGGCAATGTCTCAATTACTACACGGACGGTACATTTGCTAAGGTAAGATTGTAGTATTATTGGGAGTTTTTCTGTATTTTATCGCACGTGTAAACATTATTGTTGTATCTACATTCTACTGATTATATAATGCACACACGAACCTGACCGAGCAGACGACACCAATCCCTATAGTATTGTAACATTCGTCAGCTGATGTCGGAGTGTACGATGGTATGATTGACGTGACGATCTTATTCACAGTACACCTTGATTTATATGATATACTCATAACGTATTGCATTTCCAAACATTTAATTGAATACGAATCATTTCTTAAATGGGGTAATATGGTTGTGTACAAATAAGACTTTTCCAAGCGTATTGGGCATTTGCAGTGAAACATACCAATTTGATATTAAAGCATTGAACTGCTTTCAGTTGGCATTCATAGGCTAGCGGTTCATGTCGGATTTGCCAAATCATGTATGTATCGTGTATGCTTGTATAAATAGAACAGCCATCACCCAGGGAGGCTAAGTGGTATCCAACGTAGCAATTATGACGTCATAATAATGATTACGCCACTAATCGGCCCATGGCATTCATAGCCGATATGAATTCCAACTGAATTTGGTATGGTTAAATAATGGCCATGCCATACGATGGCAAATATTGTCATTTAACAACATTATAGATTTCATCTTTTCTAAGGTTAATGTCTGAAAGTTGAAGTAATTAAAAAGGGTGGCAGGGTGTAGAGTAATTTCGATTTATTTCCCATTTTAAGTAGGATTTCATGTTGCCGTTTCCTTCGGTTTGGTGTCGCGGGATTGCCGTGCCTATTTCGATTCGAGAATCTACCTAGATTTACATTATTAGGAGGGGATATACTGATGTATTTAGAGCTACCAGGTTAGAAATAAAGTGATGGCTTTCTGAATTAAATATGTTTTGATTACATAACAGACGATATAGTGACCTTTATGATGTTGCGGTAGGTTGATCGTAGTTCTGTCTGGGGATCCGTTTAACTGGTGGAAGTGTGGAAAGCAATAACCCACATATAACATGGCCACCATCTGTTCCAATGTAATCCTTATTTTCGCTAAAGCACCTTTTCATGTACAAGCAACAGAATTATAGGAATCGATACAAAAATAGTTAGTTATTTTTTAGAAAATAGATGAACTGAACATTCTCCAAACAGCTTATGATGATCTGGTTGTATCGTACTCAAATTAAAAGAGGATTTTCGAGATAATTGTGTCGTCAGTCAGATAGCATGTTACTTTTAAATATGATACATGTACATGTGGATATCTTATCTAAATCTAAGAACATTTAACTACATTGGAGGTATTCTATTGTGTAGTTCATGGTATAAGTGTGATAAAAGCAATCTGTCCAAAAGAATGAAAAATGCTACACAACTACTACACGAGGAGTGTGACACTGTCCGCCTTGGCTTCAGGAGAAATGTTTGTTCGGAATACATATTCCTCATCTGCTTCGTTGATGGCAATAGAGCTGAACGAAAAGTCTAATCAAAGGGGAAAAGATAAAAACTAAATATATCCAATGTCACTGAAGTATAGCATATAAGTGCTGGTGACATATATTTGATATAATTTTGTAACACTCCACAAGATGCATTAACTTATATATTAAATGCGGGTTGCACTTCTATTTTGAGAATAGTGGATCTATGATAACACAGATGTACGGACAGATCGACGGAAAAATATTTAGAAGGTAGCAGAATTGTCTGCCTGTGTCTGCATTACCTCGGTATTAGTAGAAAATAAGAGCGTGGAAACAAATTAATAAAGCGATAACAAATAAAACAACAATCAATGAATTAGTTGTCTGACAAATTCCCAGGTGAATTATTAATAGATTTTGATATATTCCAAAAACATTCATTTTTCAAATTGTCTGGTTTTAAAATTATGCTTCAAATTTCATTAAAAAAAATGAATCACAAGTCATCGTTGTAAAGTCCCCCTTAACTTCAATAAAATGAGTGCCAGCATCATCTGCTATGATTTAGTTCAGGGTAAGTTTAATTTCAACGACGTTTAACGTTATTGTAGTACCATAACATGTGAAATAATGGAAACCTCTATCACTATCTTAGATAAGCTCACTAAATATATCATAGTCAACGGGAAACACGTCATTATTAATGACGATGTTGATGTTATATTGTGGAGACTGAATACAAGGAGAATATTTCATACATCAATATCAAATTATCTGCCTAATCCGGATTTCATTTGTTTGTATAGCGCATTGAGTAATACATTTAAATACGATTTCATAATAGCAGTTTATGTGGTATTACCAAGTTCTTGGCTTGGTGTAGACAACTACCTGGTCATATAAGGCGACAAATTATGTGGGGCGCCCTGCGTTTTTCGGTGGTTTGATTCAGTTTCATCTGTTCTTTTCGAAAATTATCTTTTTCTTTTTGATAACAAATAGATATTCAGTAACAGTGGGTCTTTCAAATATGAATGACTCGATATGAGTCAACATTACAACAATCCAAGTTCTAGTATTTATTTATCTCCAGTTTTTACATATTGGATCAGTTTAGGGGAACCACTATTTGTTATGTACACAGATGTTTAGTTCCAGAAGTGTTATATTATAGAGAAAAAAAACCGTGTATGTTTACTTACGTAATTATATTGCCAAAATTGCATGAAAGGTAATTTTAGGAATCAGTAGCTCATTACGTTATATTATATCTAATGTCAAATGCACTTGAAATACCTCACCATTCTAGCTCCTAGCATTCTAACACGAACACAATCTGTTTCAGTATTCTTTGGTCTTAAATTGGTCTTAAAGTCTAAACTTGACCTAAACAACGTGTATTTTGTATGGTGCTGTCAGCAGATACGGCCTAAATCTTACACTATAGGTAATCATGTGTACATTATCTACTTGTTAACACATTTTGGGGAGCACTGAAGAACGAATGTGTAATCCTTTATTTTTAATCAAGGGTAACTGTCTAGGTCATTTTGAAGTTTTGTTGTCCTTGGTATCATATTGCTTGTGTACAATGGTGCTATTTCATATATATATATATTGTCTATGCATTGAAGTATATATATACATCATCGTTTGTCGTCGGTGTCGGTTCCATATGAAGTGTGGCATCTATACGTTTAGCTTTCTGCTGTAGCTATGTTAGGGATTATGGTGTTTATGTCAACCATCAGCGTGTCAGCTTCAAACCTTATCCGAACAATCAAATATACATGAACATAGCTATTCAAAACATCCTCAAAATATAGCAATTCAAAACATCTTTAAAACAAAGCAATTAAAATATCCTCAAAACATAGCAATTCAAAACATCCTTAAAACATAGCTATTAAAACATCCTTTAAACATAGCAATTAAAAACATCCTTAAAACATAGCTATCAAAAACAACCTTAAAACATTGTTATCATAACATCCTCAAAACATAGCTATTAAAAACATCCTAAAACATAGCTATTAAAAGCATCCTTATAACATAGCTATTAAAACATCCTTCAAACATAGCAATTCAAAACATCCTTAAAACATAGCTATTAAAAACAACCTTAAAACATTGTTATCAAAACATCCTTAAAACATAGCTATTAAAACATCCTAAATCATAGCTATTAAAAGCATCCTTCTAACATAGCTATCAAAACATCCTTCAAACATAGCAATTCAACACATCATTAAAACATAGCAATTAAAAACACTTTTATGATACACTGTGTTTTACTCCCCAATCACCAGTAATCGCTTACATTACTGTGATAGTATATTGCTGTAATTGACTCCATCTTACCACTTAGTATATTGTTGCGTAGGCGAATAATCGGCTATCGTACATCCCGGGAAAACACTACATTGTACATATTAGCATTTGGAATCCATTTACTCAAATTGTATATTCTTTATCATTTAACTTCCTACATCACGGAGTCTTTCAATAATTGTAAAATTCGGAAATCTCGTTAATAACGCTTTGCCTCCTAAGTCGAAAGTCAGATGAAAAGTATGTTGGCACGGGCCATGGGATTTTGGATGTGAATTGCACATTTATGTCTATGAGAGTTGTTTTTAAGTCAATAATAAAATTCTGAATTTAAATATTGATTTAATGTGTAATAACACGCGTTTGCTCAGAGGTGTTAATAGGATAGCATACTTAACGTTGCAAATTTGAGGTTTTTGAAGTAAAACCAATTTTCATGATGTAATACTTACCATAACTTTAGTATGCATATACAATACCTACACCCATCTTTGTAGCCCAAAAACAAAAGATTCAAATATCCCTACCTCCCTACCGTGACGTAACCTCTATCTCGATGACAGAGCCACGGAGTGATCTCCCTTCCTCAAACCCCCTTTTATGGAGCCTAAAGGCAGCCAGGATGAGGAGGCAAGGGGAGGAATACAGGGTGGGACTCCATAAAGTTATGGTAAGTATTACATCATGAAAATTGGTTTTACTTCAAAAACCTCAATTTCATTTCAGTAATAATTACCATAACTTTAGTATGCGAATTCGTCTTACCGTAGTGGAGGCTTCGAATCCAGGCAGACCAGGCTGACGGAACAAACTCGAGACATGCTCAAGGTAGGGAAAAGGTTCAAGGAACCCCCCTAATAAAGCCCCGAAAGTAATTAAAAAATGGAAAACCTCCCCGTGAAACGAGCAGGTGTACCACCGTGGTGCCTGATAGCATACTATTTAAAATCACTGAATTACTGTGGAGGAACAGCCACAGACTGTGCAACCACCACCGGTCCAAGGGAATACAATCCATCAGAATGAGAGGCCAAGGACCGGAGATAAAAATCCGTGAAGGTAGTCTGTCCGCGCCAGAAAGCTGCGGACATGACCTCCTGAAAGGGGGACCCATTGAGGAGGGCCCATGACGCAGCAAGGGCCCTGATCTCATGAGCTCTCACCTTATACAACGCCCGAACCTGATCATCCGAGTGGTCGTAACCGTACTTGATGACCTGACAGATCCATCTAGACACTGACTGAGA